CACAACCAGGTCTATCAATTTCCCCCTAAACACTCTCTCCCCACATCTGTTTCTCCTCCACACGATCTTATCCAGATCAAAGGGAAAAATATTCCCAGGGTTATTGCAACAAAACCCTGTCACCCGGGATTCCTCTCTCTGTCATTCCCCACTAATGCTTCCTCCGGTACTGTGCATCTGCCCATATCTCCTCTTCCTCCTGACGTTACAGTCCTCCTCTCTCCTCTTAGTGCAAGGGTGACATCCCTCTTCTTCCCAGTCCCCTCAGGCCTTGTCCTCCCTCTGTTCCACTCTTCAGCAAGAGAGCACTTCAACAAAATCAGGAGTAGCCAGTACACCCTTTGTCCCCTGCTCTTCAGATGAAACCCAATCTCCTTGCTTGGCTTACATGGCCTGAGTGGGACCAGCCAAATATGGGCTCTGCATTTCTATCTTGCTCCCCCACCTCAATGTGCCCCGTGCTCCAGCCACAGTGCCCATCCTTCCCCAGGGCCAATGTCTGCAGCCAATTCAGTCTTTATTCATTCACTCAATCACTCATTCCCTCTTGAAGTAAACATTCATCATAAGCCGCTTGTCCCTCCCCTTGGATCCTATGTCCACCTCTTCTCACTGCTTATTCCTTCTTACTCTTTAGAGTTCACCTTGGATGCCACTCCCTCAGAAAGTCATCCCTCATCACCCTTCCTAGGGGTCACCCTGTTGTCTCAATCACCAACCCCCATTTGTTTCCTCCGTAGTTCACCAAAAATGTTAGTGTGTTTCTTTTGGTGGTTTCTATGCATCTCCCTACAAGGATAGAGCTCATATCATAGCAGCAATCTGGGTCTTTTTTTCATCACTGAATGACCTCGTGGCCAACTGCAGTATGGGACAAATGGTCGGCCATGATATGTGTTTACTTCAAGAGCGAATGAGTGATTGAGTGAATGAATAACGTCTGAATTGGCCGCAGACATTGGCCCTAGGCAAGTGTGGTCCAACTAGATTTGATATCTATCGTGGCATTTCACAATCCTCCAAAACCAAGTGACAGTAAACAACATTAATTATCTCACACTTCCTGAGAGTCACAAATCTGAGTGGCTTATCTGGGTGGTTGTGGCCTAAGATGTCTCTTTCACAAAGTTGTGGTCAAGATATTGACCAGGCTATGCTCATTGGATGGCTGGGCTGGCCTGGAAGATCTGCTTCAGAGATGACACGCTCACATCATTCTTAGCAGGAGTACTTAGTTCCTCGCCCAGTAGAACTACTTTAGTGTCTTCATGATATGGCAACGAGTTTCTCCCACAGTGTGTGATCTTAGAAAGAGCAAAGCATAACATATTTATGATTTCTCCCCGGAAGTCGTATACCATTGCTTCTGCCATATCCGTGGACCAGACATCCACCTGATACAATGTAGAAGTCCCCTGCCAAAGGATGTGGATATCTGATCTGAGTGGTGGCCACGAAAGGATATCAGTCTCTACAATGTCAGTAAGCTGTGTATTTAGGATATGTGCAATGTCCTGTTCTCATGTTCCACTCTAATAAAAAAGAATTTAAAAAGCAAAAACCAAAAAATGAAAGTATACCTCTGAAACTTTGCTTAATTTTTGTGGGGAGGTTTGCTGCTTATTGGTCTTTTCTCACATAGCAAAGAGTTTATGTAATCTCCCCATCCCCCGAGCTACCTTGCCAACAGCTCAGTCAACAGACTGACCAGAAGTATATTATAAGTGATGATGGGAGGATTCGAACCCAGATTCCTCTGGCACCACTCTTCAAGTGCCTTTCTCTCAGACCATGACAATGGCAGGCAGAGAGTGGCCAAAAGCCAGCAAGACGGAGAAGCACCATCCTCCGACCCAGGAAGCAGAATAAGAGGCTTTGTTAGACAGCTGGTGGCATTGTAACCCAAA